AGCCATGGTAATACTCTGAATATTAGGCGCTGACCCACATCTGCTGCTATACAGGTTACATGGAGGCCCAGATACAGGCCCAGCTGTTGCTGCCCTGTGTATAATCTCGCGACTGACCCTAAATTGATGTTAAAAGCAAGATGACACATTGGCACAAGCTAATCTAATGCTAACGGTTACAGTATAGGAATCTACTACATGATAAAATAGCCATGGTAATAGAAATAATATTGAAGACGGGTTGTCCCCTCTTCCATCCATAGAGTCAGTCTAATGAATATTCAGATGCTAAATACGTCCCCTTTCTCTAACTAGTTCTGCCTACAGTGCCATATGCTGGTAAGAATAATGACTCCTGAGTCATTGTTATTAATTCAACATTGCCGTGGAATGGTGCATGCAAATGAAGCTTTGGGCTCAGAGACCCATAAGCTGCCTGGAGAGCTCGTCTGAGTAGACCAGACTGCAGTTTTAGTGCCCCTCCTGGACCTTTGTTATTTCTAGTAAAGTTGTTATTTTCGCCACATCATCCACATTTATTTGAGAGGATTTGGAACTAAATTCAATCTTTCCTGACTCTATAGAGCGGTTTGTAATATATCCGGTCGGTGTCCTCATTTATTAATCCCTAACTTAGATATGTAGGCTACATAGAATGGGATAAACAATGAGAGACGATACGGTGAGTAAGAGAGTTTTTTGGATTATAAAGCTAATGTTGACAATGATTAGAATATTGATCTTCATAACACCACCTGTTTTAAAAGAAGCAGTGGAAAGCCACCCACGCATTGTCATTAGTCATCAGCAGCTTCTTGCAGCCCACTGCAGTGTACGCTGCCACCCATGATTTAGCTCTCCATCCAGTTATGAGGGGGTGTTAAGTGTTTATTATGCAGCACATTCCGAGCCCCAATGAGAACGCAGAATGTTGCCCGATCAATACCCCTCACAGGAAGCCAGGTTAATTTATTTTTTAAGAATCTACTCGCATCTCGGAGGGCCCTCTCTGCACGTTGAAATGCAAACAGTGTCCGAAAGCTCCTCGGTCACATCCCGGTACGAACACACAGCGCTTTTAAGGGGCTTTATACAGGAACTCGGACATGACCACACATGCATAATTTTTCAGTGTCAAATTATACGCAATACTGATTCTCCTGAGTGTGAAAACCGGATATATTACGCTCATCCTGATGGTCGCCTATTGTTTGTGTGGCCGACACAAGTTTATTGAGAATTCAGATGGCTGCCCATACTGGTTGAATCTGCAGTTCTGAAGTGTCGAGGATCCAAGTTTGGTCATAAATATAGAGTTCCCCAGATTTCACACCCCACAACGCTTCAGAATTTCATAGTTGAATTGCTCCTCGTGTCACTTGCTACACCTTATTAAATCACTGTTGCATTCATTGTCTTACATTTTACATGACACAAGTTTAAAGTCAATGCCTTATTAATTATCACCACACACGCGCACATACTAAATGTTAAACTTAGCATTAACTGTAAAACAGTCGCTTCGGACCTTTTTGCAGATGCACTCTACACACAGCCCCTGATTTTCCTCCGGCTGGCAAACAGCTGCAGCTCTGCCATAACATGCTCTCTTGCCTGACTAACCTAATGCAAAGGAACAGAAACACCTCTCCCACTGAATTGTGACCTGATTTGTGAAGGTGTTGTCTGGTTGACACATGAAGTCACTTTCTAACCACCGATGGGTTTTAATAAGCATGGAACTTAGTGCATACCCAACCATCGGTTACTGAGTGAAAATAGGACGAAAAGATGAGCGCATTTGTTATTACTTGGATCCTTTTTGGTTACCTTTCATCTGTATTGACTGTTAGTGAGCATCATCAATCAGAGCATTTATAATGGATGCTGTCTGAGAGCACATATCTGCCTTCAGGGAGTCATCACCCCAGGCTTGGGTCAAGCAGTGATTTGATCTGTTGTCAGTTAGATGAATTGAAGCTTTTTCTCCCTATTCACTGTATCTTACAAACACGCACAGAATTGACTATGAAGGTAAAGATGAGTTGTGATATTGAGAAGTCTAAAGTAGTTTAATATAAGCCCTCGAGACTTGGATCTTTTAAAATATTCAGAGCCATTCTCCATCAACTTTCACCCTGCTTGCTTGTTGAAGAAAAGACCAAAATGAAATCAATAGTGGTGCCAGTACTGGCTTCTGTGCCAGGCATCATCCAATATTTAAACAAATGAAGCCTCACAACCTCAAATTTACCCTGCAGTTGAATGTTCAAGGGGCTGTAAAGGCCTGAAATGGCTTGAATTTCTGGACAGGATGTAGAGATGAAGATGAAGTGGATGAAATAAATCTCTGTCCCCATCATGATGGCTACAGCAGTCATCTGCATTTACATGATATGACAGGTTAAGATTAACAGCCATGTTGAATCTTAAAGTGGGACTCCTTTGCCACCATAAATAAGAAATGGATCATAAATCCCACATGGCAACTTTGGGCCAGTATCATTGCCTAAAACAGGCCTCCATACCAATAGATTTGCACAGCATGCCGATGAATAAGGTGATGACTGTGGTTAATCAGCCCGTTCATGGCTCAAACATGAATGTACACTGTAGGTGCTATATATCACTTTGACAAATAAGTACAACTCCCTCTTTATTCCCCATATTTGTCGTTGGATTAGTGTCAGTGATGATTTAAAAAAATCCAAGGTCCGTTTCAGATGATATCCCATCCATCCTCACAACTGAACTTGATGGATATTAAAATTAACCTCCAGGTGAAAGATGTGAGAAACTGAGGAAACTGCTCTCTGTGAGAACACATAATTCCCAATGTATCCTTCACATTAATAAGGATGATTAGTAGTTTGATGGGATTTTACCTGTGAGAAATCTTATAAGATGTAGAAGGAGAGCTGGCAATCTATTACAGCTCCTTATTACTACTTATTCCATCAGTCTCACTCTTGATATAGTGGCTAATTGTATAATATGGAATAATAATAAATCATAATATTTTGACATGGTTTGATAGAAATTTTCATTTGAAAAATATGAGGATCCTAAAATCCCTAAAACATCCTAAACGCAAATTTTCAAAAGACATGTGTTGAACCCAACACACAATGCCCCTCTACAAACTGCACCAATTAAAAATTGTTAAACCACACCCCATCCACTTTTCAGACCCCTCGTTACATCATATTAAAGATAGTCAATGTTTACTGTTTGTTTTTTCTTTTTCATGAACTCCAAGATTTGAAGAAAGTGCTCTTACTGGAACTCTTTTTATAATGATTGTCAGTGAGTTCTTAAAACATTTTTATTCCTGCTGACTTACAAGTTGTAAACATTATCTTAATGTTTCGCAAAAGAACACAAAATGATGCAAAATGATCGGACCTCCAGAAAGGCTGCTGCAAATTCAGTATCTCAATGTTGCCCCTTTTTGTGGGAGCTTTGCAGAACATGGTGCACAATATTTAAAAAGCAGCCACATGAAATGCACACTAGAGAGCAGTCTGTTCCCTCTCTCTGCAGTCGATGTGATCCTCCACTCCCTTCTCACACAGCATACTGTTCATGTCAAAGAACCTAGGATACACAATATTTGTCAGTGCACTAATTTACACAATGAACACCAGAGGAAGAAGGATATATACACACACACCTCTAAATGGACTTGTATTCAACAAACAATTTCACATCACATGAAAACACAGTGGCGAATACTGCATGTGCAAATCTTGCTTGAAGCTGGTTGATAATCTTTTCAGTGGTTCGGATACTACTTTAATTCTATTTTGATCCAAGTGTGCACGGTTTAAATGATTGTTGGCTCTGTGTGCTTGATTCAGTAAAATGAGGCATCACTTTTCTTTGACAGCCAAAGTATAATGAGAGGCAATAAGAGGCATAGCTTTAGATCTTTGACATTGCTTTTTTTCTTCTTCTTTTCCTTGGACGCTACACAAATATTGATATTATAAAAAGGAAATAAAATTATTTAATTGATTAGAAATTAATCAGGACCATTTTGAATCACAAAGAGGGGATGGGAAATAAATTACACCTAAAGTGAGACAACACAATGAATGATAAACCAACAAATGTGACAAAAGCAGAATTCTGAAATTCAGTCTATGATACTGACATTCGAGATGATATGCAGATATCCCTCTGCCTCTTTTTATTTTGAGGATTTTTTATTTGTATTTTTTGTTTGTTCTACGTTTCGACTCTTTTTCTTTTTTTTGGTTTGATACACCGCAGTCATGGCTCTCCAGTCTTGAAGCGCAAAGACTGCATCTATTGTCGTCCATCCTCTGCGACAGGCTTCTCACGTACAAATGAGTTTACTGTGAACAGCAGTTAATTTATTTAAACCTTTTTTGTAGTTTACAAAAAGAAATAGCTTATCTTTTTTTCTTTTTTTCCACAGTTGCACTTCTTAATTAACATATTTTACACAGAATTTTCTTTTTTTACATTTTCAATAAACTTAAACAGGTCTTTAATATTTTAAATGCTTGTCAAATATCGTATGTACCATAATACAAATGGTTTTTTTATTATTTTTTTTCAGTTTTTCTCCTTTTTTTTTCTTCCTTGTGTGTCCTCAGTTTGTTTTTAGACAATTTTCAAATGTCCTGAAGTAGAAAGACACATTAAAGCTCAAATATCCATCCATGAGAGAAAAGCCTCAGTGCCCACGATTCATGCCCCTGGGTGTTTCTTTTGAGTGTCAACAGGTCCAACAGTCAGCTTCCCGTCATGCCCTCTGATTTCAGATTAGCACTAGACAGCCGTAGCAGTAAATCCACCACAAAATAGTCAGCCACATAAAGCACACTTCCCTCTCATCACAGTGAGATGTAAAAAGTGTCCAAAAGATCCAGTTCTTCACTTTGTCCCACCTTGTCCCCCTCCCCAGTGTATCCAATCGGGATTTGCTTTATATCCACACAATGTATGTTGTAATGTAATCAAAAGCACGGTCACACCTCACATTCCCGAGAAGTTTGCTGTTGGCAAGTGCAAGAGCCATATTCATTGATGATTACCAAAGCTCCTTCAATGTGGTTGGGTTTATAGTCAACATAGTACTCCGGTGTGGAGATGGTAGCCATCTGCTGCATGCTTTGCTTTTGCTTCTGCTTGCGACGTTGACTGCTAAAGCACTGCCTTAGTTGCCTTACTCCAGCTGGAAAGCACTTCCATGCCACGTAGAGCATGAGCACTATGATGAAAAAGGAGAAAATGAGCGCCATGGTGCCAGTCACCACTTTGTGGATCTGCATGGTGCTCTCAACGTCATCGGGGCCGACTGTGACGGTGAAAGAACTTGTGACCACCTCACTGCCCTCGCCCTCGTAAGGGTTTGGTGTGAATGGGCCCAAAAACACCGAGCCACCCTGTGCCAGATCCCGTGTTGAGACATACAGGCCTGCTGTGGTCACCTCTTTTGGGGAATCCTCACATAGCTGGAAAGCATAGACAGCATCCAACACATCCTCGCCCTGTGCAGTGTCAGGGCTGGAACACAGCAGGGAACTGTCACGCTGGCCTCGGAAGGCACTCAGCCAAGAGGCCAAGGCACACACGTTACGACTGCACTCCCAGTCATTCCCCGCCAAGGTAATGCTGTCCAGAGATGACCAGGAATCCAGGATGCGCTGATCCACAGAGGTCAACCGATTGGAGTCGAGCATCAACACCTTGAGGTTCGGGGTGCTCTCGAAAACATGCGGCTCGATGTATTCAATTTCATTTGCCGATAGGTCGATCTTCTCTAAAAAAGTCCATGTCCACTCCAGTGTATTAACAACAATAGTGGCCCGATTGTTGTGCATGTACAAAGTACGTAAAGACATGAGGCGAGGGAAGTGGGCAAGGTTTACTTTGACCAACTCGTTGTGCTCAAGATGCAACTCGGTCAACTTGAAAAGGCCAGCAAAGGAGTTTCTTGCCAGGCTCTGCAGCTGGTTGTATCCCAAGTCCAGAAACTGCATGCTCCTGCAGTCTTGAAAAATCCGCACTGGCACAAATTTGAGAGTATTGTAGCGCAAATGCAAATTGGTGAGCTTTCTAAGGCCATGGAACAGGTCGGGCTCCAGTGCCTGTAGCCTGTTGTAAGAGAGGTCCAGGATACGCAGGTTTGGCAGGGGCCTAAAGGTACCATTTGGCAGACTCTCAATGCGATTGCTGCTGAGGTCTAACTCCTTAACCCGCCTTAGCCTTTCAAAAGCACCCTCCTCTACAATGTCAATGTTGTTGTGGTCTAGGTAGAGCCAGGTTAGCTGCGACAGACCAGCCAGTTGGCCTTCACGCAGCTCGGTTAAGTTGTTCTCTCTCATGGACAGGCCCATGGCACTGCTCAGATTGCGGGGAATGTCTGTGAGGTTGAGCCCCTCACAGTACAGCAGCTTGCTGTCGCAGCGGCACAGCCTTGGACAAACCCCTTCGACAATGGGAACAGTTCTGAGAAAAATACCCAAAGTACACAGTATCAACCCAGGGGGCTTCTTCAGTGGCCACTTTAAGTACAGTCCAATTAGGAGGAAATCCATTAGCATAAATATCCAGGAATGTCGAGGAGAAAATGTCCATTGAACCACTCTGGATATCGTTTAAACGCTATCAGATCAGATTTATCATATCGTATATTCAACTGATTGAATAATGTGTTTCATCCCGGCTTCTTATATGAACTGTAGAAAGTAATATATTTATTCTACTCAGTCCATCAGTGGAATCCTTGTTGAAAATGCAAAAAATAAAGAGCAAGTCTCCTGGCTTATTCTAGGTACGAGACAGTGGGTGGAAAGTAGAAGGGATGGCAAATAAAATTGTTCTCACCGATCGATCTTATTGAAAAAAAGATTCCTACTCACCCCTATCCCAAAGCTGACAATCTCTATTCAGCATCTTGCTTTATGCCCCAACTTTAATTATGTACCAATCTAAAAAAGACCCCACTGTGGCACAGATTCTCCCCCCGCCTTTCTCTCTTTTCAGCGGACACCAGATCCTTGGCAGGCTTACAATGTCTTAGTTCTCTTCAAGTGAAAGAGCCAGAAAGAGCAGGAATCCAAGTAGCTTTCAGCGAGATGATAGGAAGTGCAAGTTCCCCTGTCTGCATGCATGAGCTCTGTCTCTTTCGCTCCTCCGCAGTCCTCTGCTGCAATGATCAGAGGGAAGAAGAGACAACCAGAGAAAGGGGGGGAAAAATGACCAGTGAAGAATATTTTAGATTTGTGTCCGGCTCTCTTCTTTTCCACCCCCTCCCTGCTTAAGTTTCAGCAGATCTGTCAGAATGTATCGCCGTCCATCTCAAGAAAAAAAAAAAAAAATCACAGATTTGTGTGGTTTAAATCCATTCAAGCTGTTAATCGAGCTTTCAGTGACGAAAGCAAGAGGGGGGAAAAAAAAGGAAAAGAGGATTTAAAAGAGGTGAACCCTGTTCACTGTTTTCTTGTATAACCGTATTCCATGTCATCTCAGAGGCTCATTTCGATAAAGAGGTGGCCGGCGTTCCCCGTGGCTCGCAGGTTTCGTTCAGTCCCGCGTTTCTCCCAGTGTTTTCTCAGCCAGCTGGAAGAGGCTTCTGAGGGCTGGTGCTGGTAGGCAGGCAGGGGCAGTGAATGTGGGAAGCGAAGGAGCGCGCAGTCCCTTGCAGCAGACCAGTGCACTGACAGCGCATGCAGAAGCACCTTCTGTTCACTGAGTGTCGTAAGCCACTCACAATTCGGAGCACTCGCTCTCTTCCCCTCACTCTCTTGCTCTCTTGATCGCCCACTCACTTGTTCATGCTGCTCCCTTCCTCCCCCCTCCCCACTCTTGCATCCTCCATCCTTGCTTTTCTCTGGCTGTGTTTTTCTCTGTGCCTCAGATATTTACATACCCAGAATGGGCTGGGCTTACAACAGGAGCTTTAATGACCCCCCCCCCCCCCCCCCCCCCCACACACACACACACATACATGGACTGACACACATCCTGCCTCAGCGACTGTAATGAATTGGTTCTCTTATGTTATGACATAGCTATAAGAATACTGATTTCTGACTTCAGCTTTAAATTTGCACGGCAGGAAAGGGCTCCTCCTCTGGTTCATACATGCATTTATGTGAAGACTACGTTCACTCACAAAAACGCAAATATTCAGTCAGGGAACGTTCTGAATGTCGCAAATGCCACATTTGTAATGTTACAATTTAAATAAACCTATCACCGTTTTTGTATCTCTCATAATTTATATTTTGTATATAAATGAGCGCCCCAATCAATCTCACGATTTTGATATTCAGTGTTCAGCTTTGCCAGCAATAAAAGCTTGAGTCTAATGAGTCAATAGTAGAATATGGCGTTCTTCATTTAATCAAACTGTCCTGTAGCCAGGCATTCTGTGTCATTTTCAATTATGGCTCGGGTAGTCATTCTCAATACAGATGTAATTGCTTGCCACATAATATTAGCATAAAAACATAACAGATATTCCTCTCTGAAGGTCCACTCTCGTCTCGTTTTCCACGTCTCGGAAATCTCTGCCAGCCTTTGTCCCCATACTTTTCAAAGACATTGAGGTATGATCCCCCTCATATCCCTCATATCAACAAAGTTTCCAGTGATCCGAATTTTGGCTGGTTTGGGTCACCTGAATGTCTAGCTGGTGGGTAAGAGCTCAAACTTGCAGTTCTTTCACTGTAGGATATATCTGCGATGTACATAGGCAAAGCATTCCCAGTATTCAATTTTTTAAATTTCACTCCAACAGAACGCCTTTGCTTTCTAGTTTCTCTTTCATTTCATAGCACTGTACGAGCCATAATATTGGTTTACTCTACCGAGAGGTTACCAATGTATGAATTAGGTGAGCATATTCCAAAGCTCCCTCTGATGGAGCACAATGTTCTGATGCCCACGCCGGCACGACCCAGATTATAATTTTTTGAAAAGTGAACGGATGACTAACATTTGAAGTCTCCCCATATTGAAACAGACGTTTGAACTTCAGAGACAAAGTGACACCCCAGGAAGATTTGAAGGAGAAGTTTCAGCACTTTCAAAGACACTGATGCCGAGAGAGCTGAACTGCATTTATGCTCGACTGTGACGTGGATGCACGGTGGCAAAACTTCTCCAAAGACAAAATTACATTCCATCTGTAGGTGCTTACACCATTTCATCCATGTACCAACTTGCCTGAAATGATTCCCCGGCCCTTGCGTCAGTAGCCTTAAAAAAATAACTTTTGTTATTATTATACAGACATAACAGAGATTCACGTGGATAACTATAAAGATGGTAACAGAGGCACATGTTGAGGTAATTGCAGCCATAATTGTCGCTGTGACATTTCCGGCTCATTTTCGATACGTCTCATGACATTTGTGCAGAATGTATGGTACATACCTTTTGCGGAAATTATGGTCCTATCATTGAAAGCATTGATTGTTTTCATTTGCGTTTGCCTGTGCAGCCTTGGGCTGTTTAGATATTAGAAACTGCTAATCAGCTCTCAGGAAAATTGAAGTAAAAGGAATAAATTGCCTCTGTGTGTTCTTGAGGTTGGTTTGAAATTGACTCCATATTGCTTAACAACATACAGCAACCATAATGATTAGCTTGAAAATAAGCTGGGACTTGAGCCTACTGTCTGATTACAATAATTATACAAAGGAAACACAATTACCTAACAGCCCTTCAATTTGTCATGGGGCTGGCTGGCATTTTACAGCTTCACCTTAGTGTCCACATCTATCTCCACATCCTCCCCTAACCACTTTAAATGTATTAGACTGTATTAAACATATCTTATTTATTTATTTTTTACTATGGTTTCAACAAAATAAGCTATGTGGAGTGGAATCAAGCCTTCAAAGATACCAGAGATAGAAGAAAGGGAGAGAATATTTGCCCTTCACATGATCTGGATATCTTGAAGCTGGAATCATGTCAGTCTCACCTTTGCTGTGTGGGCTTTTGGCTATAATGGACAACCACACAATCAGCTAATGACACGGTCTACCGTAATTACTTGAACAGGAGATGAGAGCATCCGGTCCATCAGTTTTCAACAGAGAGCTTTGGCTGTTCTTAAAATTCACACTCAGCAAAAGTGCACTCGTGACCATGAGACAACTTTTAACCTCGGCTCAGAAATTTCAGCGAGTATCAGTTTTGGACCCCCCAGGTTTTGGAACAATTATATTTAAGCACCAATGTGAACATTTCTAACGGAGCCCGAAAATCCAAGAAATGATTTCATGCTCTTTAACAGTTCTCTGGGTATATTTCCTGGGTATATGTTTTTAAAGCTTGGTGGTTATCTGCAGTGCTGTTCTGCCAGCCGACTGAATTGATTTGAAGGATTAAACAAGACTCAAAATGATCAGCATCTGTGATTACAGGCCCATTATTTGAATCATTTATTGAATCAGGCGACGTCTGACTGCGAGTCCAACAAAACAAGGCAGACGATTTCCAATTGGCCCGCTGCAGAGATAATGTTGATGGACATCTGGGGAAGGAGTGTGGTGGAGGGGCTGAGTAGAAACTCCTTTACCACAGAGTTGCTGTCACTGATGTGGTTAGGGCTGATCCTACACTCACAATGAGCTTAGTGTCAGCCTGGTTGAACCAGGCCACAAGTAGACAGAGGGGCAAAAATCACCTTAGTTGTTTTGCGTGATGTCATTCGTTGCTTCAATTTATTTATTTATTCTCTCCTCTTCTTTAATATTTTAAACAACATAACCCCATTATATAATCAGGAACTGAGGTTGAACTCAGGAAACAAATAAATATTCTTGAGTGAACTTGGTTAGCCACGGTCATTTTCTAACCGTCACCACCATAGACGTATATTTTGCATCGTTGTTAAGTTTTTGAGTTGTTGAAAAGTCTGCTGAGGTTTTGTCATATTTCTTCCAAAGGACTGAATAAAAAAAATCAATAGTATTTGCTAAAGAAGGAAGTTAAAGTTTCAGACGGTCTGTCTGAGCAAGTCAAGGACTTCTTATTCTTCTTATGTTATTTTTTCCCTCATATTTCTTGTCCAATCTATGTCATTATTATTATTGTTATTACAGTCACAACTGTTTAAGTCCAAAAGTATAAACACAATCAATTTTCTGCATGTAAAAGTATTTATTGTCAGTATCATAAAGCAGAATATAGCTAAACGTGAATCATCAGCTGCTGTTATATCTGCTGGAGGTAATTTGAACCACCTCATAAACAGTTTTATGTACAGAGAATCCAGATACAGTGTTAATATTGTAAAATGATCCATTAGAAGGAAAGACCAAAGTTGACATTTTTATTTATTTCTGTTCACGTTTGAAAATATTTTCAACTTTTTTCAGTTTCCGGTGATGTTTAATTTACAACTTAAGTGCAATTATTAAGTAAATATAGCTATTTCTTCTTCGCCCCGTTTAAA